GCTCTAAGGTCTCCCCGCAGCCTTCTCTTCTCCAGGCTGAACAATCCCAACCCTCTCAGCCTGTCCTCACAGGAGAGGTGCTCCAGCCCTCGGATCATTGTTGTGGCCCCAATTCATTCATTCAGAAGAAAGAGTTATGTATGCTAAAATCAGCATTTATGAATCTGAATACACTTTTGGATCAGAGCTGTTTAAAAGGAAAAGATCATTTTAACATGATTGTTCACTGGACAGAATTGCACTTTTTAAAAGCATTTTTCAGATTTTTTACAGATTCAAAAATTCTTTTCTCATTCATGTATAAAATTTGTGTGTATTTTATATCATTTTTATATAACACTTATTATTTGTACTGTCCAACTTCATGCTAAGAAAGTCTTCTCAAGAGGCACTTTCTTATTAGAAGGTTACAATAAGAAACACACTTTGGCTTAAAAAGAGGGGTCAGTTAACTTCCCAGTGGTTTTTATAGACATTCAAACATCTACAACAGCAAAAAAAGTATTGCTCTTAGCCTAATTATTAATTCCACAAGTCCCACAACAGACTCTTAAACATGAAGGGGCATCTTTGCTGCAGACAGAGACCTCATCTTGTGGTCAGAACAGTGTAACTTGTTATTTGCAAAAACAGGAAGAGCAAGAGAAAGAAAACAAGACAATTATTCATTTTTCAGTTCTGATGAAAATTCCCTGGAGTCAGTAGGTTTCAGAGCCTGCCTTCGCTGAGATGTTTCCCCTTTTGAAGAAAAGAAAATGGTAATGCTCTTCTTTCATGGCCTCTAGGTCATGCAATATCTTACTTCTGCCTTCCAGCAACGCACCGCGTTGAAATCAAGTACTTTTGCACAAGATTGTTGGGGTCTGCAGGAGGAAACACCTTTTCTTATTTTGCTTGTATGTATATGACAGCTGACGTGCACACCTTGGTCAATACGGTGTATTATCTCACTCAAAAACGTATTCAATGCCTGGGAATGTTTTATGATGCAACAGTGAAATCCTAAGTGAAAACCTGCTAAAGCCATAAACCTGTTCAAAAGGCAAATTTACAGCACGTTGATTTACTCAAATCCTGTTCTGTACAGTGTAAACCAGTCAATAAATATCTGATAGGGAACACAGTGCAAGTGTTAAATTAACCACCCCCCCAGTGAATAAAATTGTGAATCACAAATGATTATCCAACTGGATAATCATTATTATATTAATGGAATAAACTTGTCAAATGAATTCACATCCTGTACACCAAATAAAAAAACAAAACTTGCACAATAAAGCCATCACACGAGCTTTTGGTAAAATAGTAATGAATGAAATGTAAACACCTCCTCTGCTATACACAAGTCACAGCTGCCGTTGCTGGAAATACTCCTCAGTCAACAACCCGATACACGTGTTAGCGTAAATAAAGGTATAATCCTGCAGCAGACCTCACCCCTGTCTACCACTACATTTACCCCTGCTGTATTTCAGCAACCTACTGAACACACTTGAAAGTTGCAGGGACTATTCCAAAACTGACTGAACTCCCAGCTGCAGGACATTTAATTATTCAGCCAGAAGACGTGGCTCGTGAGCCGAAGCAGGACCACTTCATTTGCACAGGTGCAAGGACACAGAAGGAAAACAATTACATGTTCAAGTAACTCCATAATATCCCAAACCCTGACAGGAACAAAGTACCCACAACTCACAGTAAGTGAGTGAGTATTTGCTATCAAGCTCAACAGCAGCAGGACTGTCAGGCACACAAGCCCAGCACTCTTCCCCGCTTAAAATGAGGTGCACACAAGGACCCAAAGCAATCAGATATTACCTGGAACAGTCTGACTTACATTATCAGCGTCATCAAGTTCCAAGTGAGCAAAGCTGTTCAGAGATGTAATAAACCGTAGGGTCTGGCCTCTTTGATTATCAAGTCTACCCAAAAGCTGCTTCTAGCTGGTCCACGGTGTTACTAGCTTAGCTACAGAACTGTTCTTAATTTTGTGTGTGCACACCTGCGGATGCTTGTGTGTGTTACATAGACTCCAAGGACAAATGCTTAAAACAGTGAGCATAAATTTTTATTATTAGGTACTAACTTTTTCTCAGAGCCTTATCATGCAGAAAAATCTTTTATGGTAAAAGACAAGGCAATAATTCTGTATCGTACTCTCCCTTCACCACCTGGCTGCAGTCAATACCGTTGCAGTAAGTATTGTATCAACACTAAGGTTAGCGCAGGGATAAAATTCTTAGCTCTCAAATGTATTGACCTGTTTGTTGTAGAGCTATATGAGCTACATAATTGTTTAATACCTACACCTAAAACATGAAGGGAACAGGACAACCCAAAGGCATTTTCCCAGATGCAGTAACCACCAGTGCAACATGCCGAGGGCACAGGAGGAGGTCTGTCGTGGCTGTTCACTCGGTTCCCTGCCCGCTGCCGGCTGCAGG